AAAATAAATGTAAATATACAATACTTAAAAATATTATCAAAACTTAAATTTTTTTAAATTTTCTAGAAATATTTTTAAACAAAATAAATATTTATTTTATGATTACAAAAATTTATATATATTTATCTATATTATATAAATAATAGTAGTGATAATGATATTAAATAAAGTTACAAACATAAAACGTAATAAAACTATATATTAGATTAAAAAATATAAAAATTATATTAAATTATTAAAAATTTACTATTAGAAAGAAAGGGAAAGACTATTTGAATTTGAGATTAGAAAGTTCTTAAAACTATGTTGAGAATGCTCAAACTATGGAGAATACCACGAAATTGAAGTCTTATTTATGAAAAATAAAAAAATAAATACATATTTAAAAATACATAATATAGGTACTAATGAAAATTAGAAATTAAATTTGAATCTTAAAACTAAAAAAGAAAAAATTTACGAAAGAAATAAAATGACAGTGAAAATATTACTACAATATTTAGATATAATGTGTTCACATAATTAAGAAAATATTTTCCTATGATTAATATCTGAATTGAGTGCAGTTAGTTTAAGTTTGAAAGCATAGCATAATATTTTAAAAATGCGGTCCAATTTACAACATAGAATGATAAGAATTATTTAAATTTAAGATGAGATTTTTTTAATTTCATAATTTTTTTTATTTTTTAAATGTCATGTAAAGAAATAAAACAGTAAAAATATTATTATAATATTTAGATATAAAGTATTCAAACAATTAAGAAATATTTTTCTATGATTAAATTAAAATTCTAAAAATATAAATTAATTTCTAATATAGGTAATTTTACTAATGATAATTAAAAATTAAATTTGTATCTTAAAGCTAAAAAGAAAAGAAAATTTAACTGCATCTAATACAAAAATAATTATAAGAGAACTCAATATATTTGGAACGTAATAATCAAATAACTTATGTATTAATATTTTAGGTTAATTCAAAGTAACAATTTAAAATAAAATATGATATTATTTTGGTTATAGGTAAAATATTAATATAAAAACTATTTAAAATATAGTAGGGAAGAGATGTATAAAAAAATAAAGGTAGTGTGATTTATACTTAAAATTAATTGAAAAATAAATAAATTAAATAATTAAATTATATTTAAAAATATTGCTGATAAATTTAAATGATTAAAAAATTCCGAATAAGAGGATACAAGCATAAAAATATACCAAATTTCAAGAATAAAATATTTATATTTATTAAAGACTATTAAAAAGATAATAAGCAAGATATTAATTAAATTATTAAGCTAATAAAAAATTATATGACATTATAATAATATTAAATAATAAATAATACAATAACTATAAGAAAAGAATAAAAATAAAAAAGAATTTGTGTAAAATGATGTGATGAATAAGACATATTTGACTTTCAGTCAAAAACAAAGTGATAATAAGAATTTTCTTAAAATAATATGATATAATGTGCTCAAACAATAAAGATCACAACATGACATATTTAGTATTTTTTAATATTGACACTGAAACGAAATACAAATACTAAAATCAAGGGATTATGTTGCTACAAATAAAATAAAAGTTGTTTACTACGAGATTTGGATAATAATTTCATATCTTACTTCAAAATTAATATATAATGTTATATAATTTTTATATGAAAGGTTTATATTTTAAGGTTATTTGCACATAATTCAAATAACATAAATTATAATTTGACATAATTTGTGTCCGCGCATCGCGCGGGTACTAATACTAGTAGAGATTAATAGCATAACAAAAACCTTCCTTATCATTAATATTTTTTCTCGCAATAATTGTGATATTTAAAGAATTGATAATTGCATCAAGTTAAAGACGCAATGCTACATCTAAGATTTTCTAATTATCTAGTTTATAAATAAGCCATAGCTATTGAGCAAAGCATTATCTATGACGTATCTAGGTATTGATATGATGAGTTTATAATCCTGCAAGTTATAAATATTAAATGATATTTACACCCTTTTAATAATTAATACTCCATAGAAGTCCAACTCGGTAAATTTTTACAAGATATTTTCGTCAATGTAACTTCTGCTTTTGATTTTATGATTTTTATTAATATAATATAGTAATATAATACTTTATATTAAAATGTTAATATAATAAAATTTGAGTTGGTTTTTATTTATGTGGTTCTTTTTGATTGGACATAAAATTTAAAGAAAAAATTAATTTTTAAAATTTATAGTCTAAAATAAGTCATAGAAATATATATATATATATATATATATATATATATATATATATATAGCATTTTTATTTTAGTTCTTTTCTTTCTAAGACGTATAGAATAATTCGGTTGTGTTACTTTAAATTATTTCATTAGGAATAAAATAAATTATATATATATATATATATAATATCATTAAGTTTGGAGTAGATTGAAAAAAGTATAGTTTGTTATAAATATATTATATTATGGATGTTCATTTAGTACTCTGTTGTAAATAAGCTTCCTNCGAATAATATATCAGTTTCTCTCTATAATTGTATTTACTTTATAGTCTTTATTTTATAACATAGTTCATATGTTTGTGGATTTTTATTTTTTATAAGGAAAAAATAAAAAACACGTGAACGTTGACTGGCGCGCTCTTTTACAACTAACGCCCCGAACCAACCCCCCGATCCCCCCGAACCCCCAACACAAACAAATACCAAACCCACCGCCCCAGAGGTATACATATCCATTCGTCTACGCTTTGTCATCCCAGTTAGAGGCCAAAAGAAAAGGCTCCGTTAAGAAAGTGATCCTCTCTTCTCAAGATTCTTGATTTTCTAGGCACCCTTTTACTCTCTATATTTTCAAATGACAGAACCCAAAAGCTCCTGTAGTAAAGAATTTTTTGAAGATGGGTTTTGCTCTTCTGATGATAAAGGTGGAATTTTGGAGGATGGAGTTGAAGAAAAAGTGAAAAAGAAGAAGAGGAATCAGCAGAGAATAATTAGTGAAGAAATGGGTGATAATTTGATGAGAGATCCACTAATTTTACTTGGATCAGATATTATGTTGATGATTTTGAGCTGTCTTGACGCACGCAGCGTGGCACTTTCTCTTCTTGTGTCACTTGGTTGGCGTGCTGTTGCTTCTTCTGCTAAGATTTGGAGCTCAAAGGTTGATCTTTATCTTCTTTTTTATGCTTATTACATCACATTAGCCTTCATTTCATGTCAATTAATTAGCAATTTTTGCTTTAAGACTGGGTTAAGAGCTCTCTAATTTTGTTATGCTTTGTGTCATGTGGTTGGTATAAAGTCGCTTTTGTTGGTTTACCACTTGTTTTACAAAATCTTGAGCCGAGGGTCTATCGGAAACGGCCCCTCTATTTTTAAGTTCATTTCATGTCAATACTTGGGCAATTTTTTGCTTTAAGACTGGGTTAAGAGCTCTCTAATTTTGCTATACTCTGTGTCCTGTGGTTGGTTGAAGTTGCTTTTATTGATTTACTACTTGTTTTACAAAATCTTGAGCCGAGGGTCCATCGGAAGCAGCCTCTCTACCTTTTAGGTTCATTTCATGTCAATACTTAGGCAATTTTTTGCTTTGAGACGGGGTTAAGAGCTCTCTAATTTTGTTATGCTTTGTGTCCTGTGGTTGGTATAGAGTTGCTTTTATTGATTTACTACTTGTTTTACAAAATCTTGAGCCAACCGTCTATCGGAAACAACCTCCCTACCTTCGCCAGGTAGGGTAAGGTCTGCGTACACACTACCTTGCGCAGACCCTACTTGTGGGATTATGCTGAGTTTTTTTGTTTTTTTGTTGTTGTTGTTGTACTTGTCTTACAAAAATTGATATATCAAAGTATGAACTTTTAGTATTTTGGCAATTTTAGGAGTAGCTAACAATTGGATTATTGGTGGGTCAATTTTTGTTTGCAGGTTGTCCTCTGGCCCTTTTTCTAGTTGGTTTATTGGGAAGACGATAAATTGTTGAAGATCAATTATCTCTTTTGTTTCTTGCCCTTAATTGCTTTATCAGGTACTGCAACATGGATTTTTCGAAGAGCTTTCTTTAGATTATATCTTCTTTTATTGATGAAGAACGTTAAAATCTTCTTTTGACCGTCTCTGCTTGTAAGACAGTGCAAAATTATGTGAAAAAACATTGTCTTGGTGTTTCTCCTTGCCCATTTGATCTAGGAATTTAACTCTGTAAAGAATACACATTGAACTCTCCTAGGTTGATAATTACAATACCAGGGACGAATTTTTCTAGGTTAGCGAAAATTCAATCAGCCAGTTGGCAAAAAGTTGAAAAGGAATCTGCTTTATTCCATCACGAATCATATAAAGCATATGCTGCCAATACAATCTAATTAGGCTCTTAGCAAGGCGAAGTTTTTAGTTTGGTATATGGACTTCTTAAAGCTGAGTTGAGTTCCTCTTTGCCAACAATCGGCCCGAAATGAAGTACCTTTCTCTCTAGTGATTGAAAAATTATGATCGGAATGTCCCAAAAGAACGGTCTAGTTTTTAAGGTATGGGAATAACATTTGAGATCCTAGATTTGGATCCCAGCTATAACACTTGATCTGAGTCCATCTACTTCAGCTTTGGTGGTAGAGTTACTTTTGGTGACATATGTTTGTGGGTTGGACTGGATCAATTGAAGTGCGAGCAAGCTACTTCGTGACTGGGTTATAGTCTGCTATGGAGCACGTAAATCTGAAATGTTCTCGTAGCAAATCACGACACATTACCCATGAGTTTCTACTCTCCTTTTGGGGAGTTCGAGTTGCTTGAACTAATTGTAGTACTTAAGTTGCGAGTTTTAACCAAGCGCAGCTTTTGCTTCTTGGCATTGGGTATTGCAATTCCCATTGCCTTGAGAGCCTTGTTCCAGAATACTTATTGAATATTAGCAATCTTAGTTTGGAGAGTTTCCATTTTGAGACACGTTAGTGTGTTAGGAAGAATTAGAACAATGTAATCCCTTTTTTCTCTTGGGTCCATTTACAGTTCCTGAAAAGTGATATAAGCTTTGCTCAGTATTTGTTGTTCCTCCTGTTACATGTTAATAATCCGGAGTTCATCTTCTGTAAATTGATGTTATCATTTGCCATCTGTTCTCGTAAAAAGTCTATGTAAGACTAAGAATAGATCAAGTCATGTGCACATTTAATTACAAATTCTCTGCAAGATCAATGACTTCTTGTGCATCTCTTTGTAGTGCGAAGAATTATGGCATGACAAAGCACATTTACCTCGGGTAGCGAAAATGAATGGATTGTCAAAGTTAGCTGCTTACTCATTGTCGGTAATGGATGGTGAACGTGTGAGTATTACTATTCTCTCGGTCTTTAGCACTAACATATATAAAATCATTTTCTTAATCATTATTCTTTTTGGTTCATCTGATCCGACTTCTTTTACATACATCATGTATCTTAGAAGCGAGTAACAAAGGAGGATTTATGTGATCATGCGTGGGAGTTCCATTTCACCGAGGTATGAACTGAAGTGCTTATTTCATATTTATCCCTAAGTCTTACCTGGATTTACTTACTAATTTAAAATCCATGACTAGGCATTATCCAACCCCATGTATGTCATGCATGGCTGCAGCTTGCACCAAATGAGTTAGTAGAACGTGTACGTGCTTGAAAACACTTAAATGTGGGCAACTGCTGTCCAAACGTCCAATTTTTTATGATCTAGCTTTGCAAGTGGTTGGTAAGAAATTAAAATGGTTACTTTCTTTCGTCATTTCTTTCCACTGCTCAAAATATTTACTGCTTTTATTAATGTCCCTGGTCAGTTTCATAGGGCTTCTCTTCCTTTCCCTAGTTTCCTGTCATAGGGTAAGGACATAAGCATAATCATTATGTGAGACGCGACCTAATAGAGACTCCTCAGGATGCTCCGGAATATTGGCGAATGCTCGACCCCTACTGGAACGGAACAGGACCTCCTTTGCGCCGTTATTTCCTTCCAGATGGCAGTCAGACTGCTGAACCAGATGACAAGGTATGGGGTGGTCATGAGTCTTGCTACTCCATAGTAACTAGCTTGCTTGCGGATGGGAAAATACGACAACACTATGTGAGGATTAACCGTTGGCCACCGATGTATGTTACAAGGAAGGAGGATTGGAGCTGGGAAATCTCTAACAACTTGTGTATCTATAGGAGCATCCCTGATGCTGACAAAGAAGAAGGAACAGGACCTTTGTTTCTACTTTACTAGCCTCTGCTTTTGAATGTAGTAATATGTAATTTTTTGAAGCAAAACTATGGATACACTTGTTTTGTCTTCTGTAATTTCAATAGAGTTTGTGTTTCTTAGATGCAGTTTGGAAATTTTACAAGAAGTCATTTTGCAGTGTACTCTTTAGACATGATGTTGAGTTTTGGGCTTCTTTAAACTATAATTTCTTGATATTAAGTCTTCCAACTTTTAATTCTTGCTACTTTCTAGGATTTAAGTGAAAAAAATGTATGGATAAGACGCATGTCATGGTGTGACAAAGACACGTGATGTAGGTAAGTTTTTTCCAGTGTGAAAGTTCGCCTAATACTTACTTCATCGCCTTGAAATTGGTTATTTGGAGGTCTCTTTAGTTTGGATTATCAAAATTTCTTCTAATTATGTAAAAATGATATCAGAGAAGTTACCACAATTTACTTTTTTGTTATAAAATAAAGACTGTAAAGTAAAGATAAGTATAGAACACAATTTACTTTTTGTTATAAAATAAAGACTGTAAAGTAAAGACAAGTATAGAGAGAAACTGATATATTATTCGAATTTAAACTGATGTACATTATGAACTGAAATCTCTTCTATTTATAGAAGACTGCAAGCTGTTGTGTAAGCTGCTATCATACCAGATATGGATAATCTTCTACTGGGGGTAATGTTTATCCATAACGGAGTACTGAAAGAATAAGCTCATTGTATCTGGTATGGATAATCTTCTACCGGGATAATATTTATCCATAACGGAGTATCGAAAGGATAAGCTTATTATACCCCGTATGGATAATCTTCTACCGAGAGTAATGTTTATCCATAACGGAGTATCGAAAATTATACCCGTTATGGATAATCTTCTATTGAGGATAATGTTTATCCATAACCGGGTACCGAAGTGATAAGCTTCTTCAGGAGGCTTATTTCCAATAGAGTACTAAATAGATAAACATATTTACGGCGGAGTCTATAGATATAGATAAGCTTCTTCAGGAAGCTTATTTACATCAGGGTACTAAATAAACAACCATAATATAATATATTTATAACACTCCCCCTTGGATGTTCATTAAAAGATAATGTGCCTCATTAAAATCTTACTAGGAAAAACCACGTGGGAAAAAAAATCCTAGTAAAGGAAAAAGAGTACACATATTTAGTAATACGCATTGCTAGGTGGCTCATTAAAAACCTTGTAAGGAAAACCCCATGGGAAAAAACCTTAGTAAGGAAAAAAGAGTGCATCGCGTATTTTACTCTCCCTGATGAAAACCTTGTTTCAAATATTTGAGTCTCCGCATTCTAATCTTGTATCTGCATAACCAATACGATCTGCACATTTGTTAGCATTAGCAAGATACATAAATTCATAACAATTGCACTGAGATAGAGTATTTCAGGACCACGGAGTTCCTCATCCTCTTCTGGAGGTCAGAACGGATCTTTATTCACTTCAAGTGATCAAACACCCATTGGTGTACTTAATGGATGCTCTTTGTCCATGTAAAAGCGTTTAATGACCCTTTCTGCATAGGCAAATTGATGGATAAAGATCTCGTCTGGTAAATATTCAATTTGCAGACCAAAGACAATTTTTTATTTTTCCAAGTTCTTTCATCTCAAATTCTTTCTTAAGATATTCAATTACCTTTTTGGAGCTCTTCTGGAGTTCCAACAAGATTTATGTCATCAACATAAACAGCAAATATAACAAATTATGATAACATTTTCTTTATAAAAACACATGGACAAATAACATCATTTATGTAAACTTCTTTCAGCAAATATTTACTAAGGCGATTATACCACAAGAGTACATTTTTTCAAGACTTTGAATTATATGCTTTAGGCATTTTAAATCCTTCAAGGATCTCCATATAGATTTAATCAAATAAGTCATATAGGTTATGACTTGTATCTAAATGGTATGACATCTTCAAGTGTCTGGACTGCTGGTCCGATCCTCACAATCTTTTATAATATTGTGCACTATATCGTATCAAATATATCGTCAACGATCATTTTGTATCAGTTCCTAGGCGCCATAACTTGTTGAGATCTCATCACTTTTTTTATTTTCAGATACCTGAACTTCTTCTGGAGTTTCATGAAATGTTATGTCGGGGGCTCTTCTAGAGCTCATTTCCTCTTCATTATGATCATTTTGATAATTAGCTCCTGTCATTTTTCAAGGATTGTTACCTTTGGAACCGATTGGTCTACCACGCTTCATGCGTATAGTACACTCTATCCTTCAGGGACTTTAATTTTAATAGGGGCATTTGCAACTGAAATATGATATTTAATTTTGGATCAGCAAATGCTTCTCGCATTTGATTTGAATTATCTTCTGAGTGAGGATCATAATAATGATAATTTGATTCATATAACATATTTTTCAGCTGTTTATTCTATCCCCCAAATGTTAGAAAAACTAACATATATCCCCAATGTTCTTTGATAAACATATCTTTGTGTATTGTGGTAGAAAAATTAATCATATACCACACATCAAAAGATAGTAAAAATATTTGATTTCTTATCCTAAACCAATTGTTAGGGGAAGACTTTATCATATATTGTTGATCTGATGCATACAAGTGTTGTTGTATGCTAGTTAGAATATCTTAGACCAACATATGAAGTTTTGTTCTCATAAGCAATAGTTTAACCATTAGTAGGAGGTATTCAATGCTAAACCAGCTTGGATATAAACCAACATTATCAAGATGAACTGTCTTGATTTAATAATCTGAAAGTTATGCTCTTAATTGAGAAAAGCAATCTCAAATACCAAACTGCATGTTGACAATAAACATACATGTAACCATCTTATATATGCATCTATAAGTGGTTCACATGATAGGTGAATGGGCCCATATTCACCTTTTATATATTCCAGAATTCAGGGATCTTAGTCTCAACTTTAGCCGGTATAATATTATGAGAACAAGCAGCACAAGAGAATTCTTGAAGAATCTTCTGGTTCTTCAGTATATGCTTATCAGAATTCTCAAATAGCTCATTTAATAATGGCAAATGAAAACTTCAAGTTTATCATGGCATGTGCTATCTCTTAGTAAACTAGAAGTTTACTATGGCATAAACTTTTGCATTAGTAAACTTCTGATTTACTATGATATATGATGTAGTACAAATTGAAGAATAAGGCGGGTAACTTCTCACATACATATTATCTTACCCCCTATGATTGTGAAAACATAAAGATTTTCAATCTTCCAATCATTTGTAGCATCAATATGATAGCCACTTGTATTAGTAAACTTTAGGTTTACTACAACATATGTTTTGACCATAATCATATAATATGAATGACATGTTTTTATATAAAATCTTCAAGAGTCTTTATTTATTATCCACAATCTAATATTTATCGAAAACTACTGGTGTCATGTGTCTTCTAGGCAAACAATTAGCTCTTCAGGAGTTATTGATACATTTTGTACTATCAAATATTTCTCATACACTTCTGGTATCATGAGAGAAAATCACAATCAAATAAACAATGTAAAGCAATTGTTTAAGCACTAGAAAATTCTTCTTCATAATATTTTCCTACTTCATGAGGCAATTTCAATTGTGTTTCTTCTTCAGGAGTAAATTTAAAATACGAAATATTGAGTATATATTCTCTCAATTATATTACCTCTTCTGGAGGTGAATTATAATATATTCACATCAAGAGCGCGTTCATATTTACCAGATTTATTAATATTATCACATTCACTTCAGGGAATGGATTAATATTATCAAAAGTTCTCATCCTTTTGGAAATCGAACATAATTATCTGAATGCGCATTAATCATATCAAATTGTGATGCCTCAATCTCTTTTAAAATATTTACTACTTCAGGAGCAAATCGAGGCGTGCATTTAATAAAAAAGCATATTTATGTAGCTTATCTTCAATTGTAACCATAGAAAGCCTAAATTATCACTTCTGGCGATCATAGGCATATACCACTTCTGGTGGTTAACGAAATATAATTACAATGAGATATACGAAATATAACCACTTCTGGTGGTTGTATATTTCTTGCAAACTCTACTAGAGTTTAAGTTGATCTAATAATGTTATCCATATTCTTCAAAATGACATAAATAAGATATATTATAGTAAACATCATTATCACATCATAATTTTTTTTTATGTACAACAATTACATAAACATACTATCTATTACAAACAACAAAAATTAAAATATTTACATTTCTACATATTCATCACCGAATGACTTGTTTCTCCTTCTGGGAGTGCAAGGTAATCAACTACATCCAAATGCATGAAGTCTAAATTATCTTCAGAAATACAATTTGCTTCAGCATTTTTCTCTGTCTTCTTTAGGGAGGCTTGATAAAGCTCAACCAGGTGCTTTGGCGTACGGCAGGTACGTGACCAGTGCCCTTTTCCTCTACATCTATAACATGCATTTTCTGTATTTGGTGTTTGCACCGCTTCATGCTTCTGTTCCTTCCTTTTCCACTGCTAGTGGTGAGGAGGGTCTTTGGTGCATTATTATTATCATGATTAAAATTTCTTCCCCGACCACGGCCATAACCACGACTGGGGCCACGACCTCTTCCACGTCTAGCTTGGTGGAAGTTCGTCTCATTCACTTCAAGGAATGGACAAGAACCAGTAGGTCGGTTTTCATGGTTTTTCATTAATAGCCCATTATGTTGCTCGGCTATAAGAAGATGTGAGATAAGTTCAAAATACTTTTTAAATCCCATCTCTCGATATTGCTGCTGCAGGAGCATATTCGAGGCATGAAAAGTGGTGAAAATTTTCTCCAACATATCATGATAAGTACTATTATCACCACATAATTTCAATTGGAAAATAATTCTGAACATAGCAGAACTATATTCACTTATAGATTTAAAATCTTGTAGCCTTAGATGAGTCCAATCATAACATGCATATGGAAGAACGACCATCTTCAAGTGGTCATATCTATCTTTCAAATTATTTCATAGTATGACTGGATCTTTAATAGTGAGATATTCCATTTTCAGGCCCTCATCAAGGTGATGGCGTAGGAATATCATTGATTTGGCACTGTCTTTGTTTAATGCCTGATTTTTATCCTTGATGGTGTCTGCCAGACC